TTAGAAACAAAGGAAATATAGATTATAACGTTATTACCAGGACAGCAGGTGATTAAATAAAGCAGCCAGCCAGAATTGCTGGTTTCTTGGGGAGTTTGTTTTCACAGGATAACACAACACTGACGTCTGAAATCTTAGGCTCTTTAACAAGACCTCTTTGTTCAAAGCACACTTTCAAAAACAGGCTTATATTATCCGAGAACAAAGTACATTTGTAATGGATACAAATATTAACACACACCTTATCACCTCTAAAACAAAGCCAGTATTCTTAAGAAACTTCTGTTTTAACACCTGACCAAATTCTTTTATCTCCTTTAAATTTGTTAAACGGTGTTTCTCTGAATGCAGGAGAAATGAGGCATTGCCATCCCATCTTTCTTAGGCTCCTTTTTGTTAATTAAAAGATTCCTGATTATCAAGTGGACGCTGGAGTTTCATTAGGGTTTACTAGAAAACAAAATAGCAGGTCTGTGGAGCTCAGTTTTACCTGCATGAAAGACTGAAGAGAAATTATTAACAGTAAAATAAGGAGCATGTAGAATCATTTTCTCTAGATGAGATCTACAAAGGTCAGGAACTTGAGTGGTAGTTCTCAAAGTGTGACCCTCCCAGACCAGCGGCATCAGGGTCAAATGGGAGTTGGTTGGATGTGCACATTATTTATTAGGGGGGTTTTTGCCATCGATGTGTGTGTGCTCGCCAGACAGAGAGTGTGACAGTGAAAGGGAAAATGCGCAATCACTCCCTACTCTCCAGGGAGATGGCCACGCTGCAATCCCTTCTCCTCCGTTCTCCTCCTGAGATCTTGGGCAAGCACGCACACATGCCTGGCATGATTTTCAAGCCACGTGGTCCAGGACTTGAACCATGGTTGCCCATATGGGAGTCCAGTGACATAATCACTACACCATCTGCTGGTCCCCTGAACATGCGCATTCTTGAGCTCCGCTCCACATTTACCGAATCAGAAACTGGGGCAGGACCCAGTAATCTCCCTTCAGGTGATTCTTATACACACTAAGGTTTTAGAGCCACTGGGCTAGAGGATGACAGAGATGCCATAAAGAAGGATAGTTTGAGAAGGTCTCTTATTAGGGAGGTAAAATGTTTATAAGAGTGTTAAGTCTCACTCACGCCGGGCGCATGTGCATACGTGCCCAAGATCCTGAGAGGAGAACAGAGGAGGAGGGATTGCAGCGTGGCCATCCCCCCTGGGGGGTGATTTCTCACTTTCTGTCTCTCTCTCTCTCTCTCTGTCTGGCAAGCGCACGCACCCTAAAGCAAAAACCTCTCCAAAAAAAATAAAGAGTGTCAAGTCTCTCGAGATCTCTGTCTAACACCAAAAGCTATATCTGGGCCAACTGGTGGTGGGTCAAGGTGGCTGGATTCCATATGACCAACCAAGCAGTTCAAGTCCTGGACCCGACAGCTTAAAAAACACTCCAGGCGCATGTGTGTGCATGCTCAAGATCCTGAGAGGAAATGAAAGAGAAAAGATTGCAGTGTGGCCATCCCCCCTAGAGTGTGCTTTCTCACTTTTCCTCTCTCTCTGTCTCTCTCTGGTAAACACACAAACCGTATAACAAAAATTAGCAAAAAGAAAAGAGAAAAAATCACATCTTACATCTGAAAGGTTCTCAATAAACATCAAATAAACTGGTATAACCAAGCATCTACTGTATGTCAGGTACTATTCTAAGTACTTCACAAAATCTTTTGGAACCAGTAGGTGGGACAGAGGTTAAGGTGGCTGAATCCCATATGGCTGACTGGGGTTTGAGTTCCAGACCCAGTGGCTCAAAAATCACTTTGGGTATGTGTGCATGCATGCCCAAGAAATCCCAAGAGGAGAATGGAGGAGAAGGGATTGCCATGTGGCCATCCCGTCTGGGGGATGATTTCTCACTTTCTCTCTTTGTCTCCCTCTGGCAATTGCACATGCCTTATAGCAAAAACAATTTTTTAAAAAGAATTTTTAAAATCTGGGACCAGCAGTTAGCGTAATGGCTATGTCGCTGGACTCCCATGTAGTTGACCATGGTTCGCATCCTGGACCCGGTGACTTAAAACTCCCGCCAGGCGTGTGTGTGTGTGTGTGTGCCCAAGATCCCAAGAGGAGAATAGAGGAGACGGGATTGCGACATGGCCATCCCCCCTGGGGGGTGATTTCTCGCTTTCTGTCTCTCTGTCTTTCTGGTGAGTGCGCATGCCCTATGGCAAAAATCTATAAAAAAAATAATAATAATTTTTAAAATCTAAGGATTTTAAATTTTAGTTAGTTAGTTTTTAGTTTGGGGCCATGCTCATGGCCTAGCAGTTAAGGGAGCCAGATCCTACATGGCCAACCATGCAGTTCAAATCTCAGTAACTTGAAAAATACACCAGACATATATGCATGCATACCCAAAATCCCAACAAGATGGAGAAATGGAGGAAAAAGGATTGTGCGATGACCATACCAAAATTATGTTTAAAGTGTATTTTAAGTGTGCACACATGCACATGAGAGACCATCATGCCACCATCCTCCTTCCTCAGCCCTTCAGCTCTCCAAGATCTTGGGCACATGCTTACTTACCAGCATATTTTCAAACCAGTCTGGGAACCTGAACCCATAGTCAGCCACATGGCTTCCAGCACTGCACCAGCACTGCTACCGACTGCACCAACCTGGGCCTTTAAAAAAATATATTAACCCCTTGTCTTCGCAAGGAGTTAATAGTTGGAAGTGCTGGCTGAAGCTCATTTTACAGAGGAGGAAACAGGCTTACAGAGGGGGTTGTTACTTGCCCAAGGGTATACTGAGGGACCTGCCCCAGGCCCTGAAGGTGTCCCCAGTTACCTCCCTGCCCACCCCCCTCAGTGAATATCTCCAACTCCTTTCCGAATTCCTCCCCATGCTTCTGCCACTTCCCTTTCTCACTTCCCTTGTAGCTGACCTCCTCCTACCACGTGCTGACCACAGGGAACCACTTTCAGGAAAGAGAAGGACAGAGGTTAAGTCAGGATGGAGGATGAAGCAATTACCTCGATGCCCCCCCCCCACCTCATGAGGAGGGGCACACTGAGCATGCCACACTCATTTCATCCTTGTTCATTGTGGTAGAGACTATGATTATACAGATAGGGAAACTGAGGCTCAGAGAGGTTTAAGTAACGTGCCCAAGGTCCCACAGCTAGGAAGTTCATCTTGCCCCAAACTTCTGTGCTCTATTTCCCCTCAGTGAGAATTTGTCCAAGGAGCATTGATTGGGCACTGAAAAATTCCTAGGCGGAGCTTGAGGTGCTGGGAACATGGTAACAAATAAAACAGGACCCAGGGTGTGATGGGAAATGGGGAGGGGAGAGCAAAGGCAGAGGGGACAGGGGAGAGGTCAGAGCTGAAGAGGCCTGCATGAAACCCTCCCCTCCCTGCTACCCTTCACACTCCCAGTTCCTCCTGCCA